TCCCCCGGGGCCTGGCCAATGAACAGGGCCAGACAGCCTTGGCTCCTGCCCCTTCCTCTCGGGGTTCTGGGCATACACGCGCACACACACACACACACACACACACACACACACACATGTCCACCAGGTCTCCTAGCTGCTGGGTGCGGGGCTTAAACTGCATAGTCAGCCATATGGGACCCAGGGCCTTGGCTGGCTGGCCCAGCTGTTACTGCTGTAAACATAATACCTTAGGAATCACAATGGCATCACCTGCTAGACCGCAGTCTGAGGCGAGGATGAGGCCACAGATGCACTAGGTTAAAACAAACATCCCAAGTGAGGGGTGTTGTAGTCCTCAGTGACTGCGGGTTACCTGCCTGCAGATGCCTACCGAGCTCCTGGGGGACCCGCACTGCCACAGACCCTGAGGGCATGGGGCAGACCGAGGGGCGAGGCCTCTGCTCCACGGAGATGCTGGTCTTTTATGAGAGACAGCAACTTATTAATAAATAACTACGTGACATATCAGATGGCGCTAAGTGTTGGGGACAAAAGTAAAGGAAAAAGCACAGAGAAGGACGCGAAATCGCTGTTCTCTGCTGGGCGTCAGGAGTGCAGAGGTGAGGTTGGACGGAGGCCTGTAGGGAGAGAGGGAGGGAGCCAAGTAGACGCAAGGGGACGAACATTTCAGCCAGAGGGACCCACAGCCCCAGGGACACCTGGATCAGGGTTAACAGAGACCAGGGCTGCTGGGGAGAGTGCTGCCCCCCCCCCCCCCCCCGCAGGAAGCGTGTGGGAGGGGAAGCCATCCTGGGTGGGTCCCTGGAAGTCACAAACAGGACTCTGGTTTTGCCTCCGAATAAGACAGAGCTCAGGGCTCCAAGCAGGGAGAAGATAGAGTCTGGCTCCCCTGCTTGCCCCACCCCAGGGCAGGCCATCTGCTATGGTCTGATCAGCCCAGAGATCTTGCTTCTGTGGGTTCTGGACCCGGGGCTGAGGGCCATTGTGTCCTGCACCCCAGGACACTTCCCCCTGGAAGCTGCGTGGTATTCTGAAGCAGGAGACCATCTGAAATCCGAGCTCTAGCGTCACAGAGTAGCCTCCCCAATGTAGGGAGGCTGGCGGGGGCTGGGTGTGCGCTGCTCAGTGGGGGCAGCCCCTGCACAGGATGCAAGGTCATTCGTACTTCAGGTGGGCTGGGGTGGCGCTGCGGAGGCCCGCAGGCTGGTACCCGGGTGGGTTACCCGCTGACTAAGTCGGTCCCTCCTCTTCGACTCCACGAAAGCTCTCCTGACTCAGGAACTTTGGCCATATTGACCAGGTCAGGCCAAAAAGCGTGTGGTCCCAGTTACCAGCCTCAGGGCCTTTCCTCTTTACTGAATGAAACCGCTATGTTAAAGGCCTTCAATGGCGGTGCGTATCCGCTTACCAGACGTCTTTCAGGCCCGAGATTTACCTAGGCATTGGTGGAGGTCCTGAAGTAAATTCCTTTTCTTTTTTTCCTTAAAGAATTACTGAATTGTTATTATTATTATTTTAATTCACCAGACAGAGACAGAGACAGAGAGAGATGGAAAGTGAGAAAGCAAGCCACCAGGTCCAGAACTCTGACCATGGTCGGCCACGTGGGAGTTCAGAGCCTCAGCCACCACAACGCCTGCTAGCCTCTATTTTCTTTTTTTTTGAATCATCTGATGTTAAATGTCCTCTGGGTGAGGAGAAGTTCCCTTATTTAAAACAACAACGTTTATCTATTTCTTTCTTTCATGAGAGACAGTGGTATCCTCGTCGGGGTCCTGCCATGCTGTGATCCATCCCCTGCCTCTCAGCCAGCCAGGACCACGGTGTGACTGCGGCTGTCTCAAGACTCAAACCTGGGCCTCTGCGTGGCTCCAGTGTCTTCAGCAGTGCCTCACCGCCATCTGGGCCACTGCGGCTGGGCCACCTTCACTTCTCACCAAACTCAACTTCCTCATCCTCCTCTACTCCTACCTCATTTTCCCTCGTTTGAACAATTTGCCAGAGGGCATATGCACTCACTAGAGAGAGAGAGGCAGAAAAATCGACGGAAGGGAAAAAGCACCCTCCATGGGGGAATGCTCACACCAGTCCCTTCTTCACGTCTCCATCTCGTCAAGATTCAAGGAAGCCACACACATATGCCTGGTGTGTGTTCTAAGCTGCTGGTCTGGGACTGAAACCATGGTCAACTGTGAGGGACCTGACTCCTGTAACCATAGGCCACAGGGCCGACCTGGTTATCTCATTTTCTCAGGGTATTATTTTGAGCATAAATCATATGAATAAGAAAAGACTTTCAGGATTTTATGTTCCTAGGAAGACCTTCTCCTCCTAGAAGGCATAAACTTCTACCCAGGTGAGAATCCGGTTCGAACACTGACATTCCGCAGACAGTAGCGATGGCTCTACGTCCATCTCCGGGGTCTCCCTCCAGCCTCTCAAGGTGAGCAGTTCAGCTCTCCCCAGACAACTTGATTCTGAACTTTGCTCTCAAAGACAAGGCTGCGATAACTGGCATATACAGAGCGTCACGGGGGCCACTGCTCCGTGCCACCGGATTCTCCAAATCCTGCCTCAGGTGGAGCTGCACTACCAGGAGCTGAGTGACAGGTGCGTTGACCGGCTGCAGACGTGTCTCCAGTGGGGCTGAGTTTCACTCCCAGCAGCCGTGCTGCCCCTGACCCAGCCACGAAGGCTGGCCACCAGAGCTCTGGCCACCAGAGCTCGTCAACGAGCTCCCTGTTCTCCGGCTTTGAGGCCTGGGAGGGGGAGGGAGGGTGACATCTGACTGTGGGGGATCCCAGCAGAGGTGGGAGTTCTCTGCACGGAGTCCAGGCCTTTTCTGAGTGAGCTCAGCCTGGACTGTAGCTTTTCCAAGATGGGCCTTGTCAGCAGGGCAGTGGAAACACCTGCCAGTGGCTTCTGGAGCTGGACACAGAGCGAGAGTGTGGTGGACACTTCGAGGACCATAGGCAATGGACTGCTTGAGGGGGGCTATTTTGGCAAGTCGGGGTTGGATACATACAATCAGGGCGTAGGGGTACACGCGACCCCATCCTGTAATTGTCGGGGTGAGTCTGGTGCTGTTCAGATGACACTAGCCTCGCGGGCACACATTGACCAGAAGGAGGAAAGGACGCACCGGAGGAGGCCTGGCAGGGCCCACCCTGTCTTCAACCTCCTTCTGCTTTTTTTTTTTTTGGAGAGATTTTCACTGTAGGGCGCGTGCGCTCGCCAGACAGACAGAGAGAGACATAGAGACAGAAAGCGAGAAATCACCCCCCAGGGGGGATAGTCACGCCGCAATCCCTTCTCCATTCTCCTCTCGGGATCTTGGGCATGCACGCACACGCGCCCGGCGTGAGTTTTAAGCCACCGGGTCTGGGACACGAACCGCGGTCGACTACGTGGGAGTCCAGCGACATAGCCATTACACTAACTGCTGGTTCCCATCATTAAGAATAATTTCAAGGCTGGCCTTGTACCCTAGTGATTAAGGGAGCCAGATCCCATATAGTCCACTGAGATTCCGGTCCTGGCTCTGGGTGCTTGAGAAACTCTGGGTGCTTGTGTGTTTTAAATCTCAACATAATAGAAAAGTGAAGGAGAAGGGATTGTGGTGACCATACCCCATTGTGTAGGGGAGACTTTCTTTCTTTCCCTTTGTCTTTCTCTGTGAGTGTGTGCAAGTAAAAAAAAAATATAAAAAAATTTTTTGAGAGGTTTTTGCCTTAGGGGACACGAGCTCACCAGAGGCAAAGAGACAGAAAGTGAGAAATCCTGCCTCCTGCCCCAGGGTATGGCCATACCACAGTCCCTCCTCATTCTTCTCTTGGGATTCTGGCCACGCACAGGCATCCTGCGTGAGTTTTAAGCTGCTGGGTCTGAGACGTGGACGGTGGTCAACCACGCAGGAGTCCAGCGACTTAGCTCTTATGTCATCTGCTGGAACCTCTTGGAGGAGGAAGATACAGACCGAGTGTAAAGTGCAGCACTTGTTATAAAAGAGGCGGACCATAGCTGGCAGATGAACGGTCCAATTCTATGAGATGAAACTTGTGCGAGGTTTGACATATAAGGCACGGAGGTAGCCTGGCCTAATGCAGTTTATGGTTAGATGCTAGCTGAGGAATACATCAGTGAAAGGATATTCAGTATGGGTCATGAAATTTTATAATTTACCTCAAGACACCAAAAGGTCTGGCACTTAAAATGATGTAACATTAGCTTTTCAACAATTATTTTCAGAAGGATTTTGCCATAGGGCACACCTTTCTTTCTGGTCTGCTCACGAGAGAGAGAGAGAGAGAGAGAGAGAGAGAGAGAGAGAGGGAGGGAAAGTGAGAACTCACCCCTCAGGGAGATGGTCAGGCCACAATCCCTTCTCCTCCATTCTCCTCTTGGGATTTGGGCACGCACACCTGACTGGCGTTTTCGAGGACTCAGATCATGGAGGTGGCCACATGGGCTCCAGCTGCCTAACCTCCGTATCACCTGTTGGCTCCAGTACTTTCTGAACCGGGGGCTCCTCTCCTGTGTTTTGGTCTCCAGCCCCCCACCCCCCCACTTCCGTTTACTGCTGTCTTGGGCTTTACCACCCTCAGCCAACCCTGCAGAATCTCACCTTGTAGGCCACAACACCCCCGGTGGCAGTGTTTACTACGGGTTTTAATGTGCCACTTAATCCTCAATTTATGGAACGGGCATCGCCAAGCCCAGTTTTTAGCTGGTAAAACTGAGGCGGGACCGTGGCCACCGTGTCTGAGGCTCTAGACAATGGTCAGATGGGAACTCCAGTGTGAGCGGTGAAAGGGCTGCCTCACTGGGTCCTGGCTGAAACCTGACTTGCAGTTAGGATTACGTGGAGAAAGCCCACTCTAAACCAGTATCCGCTCCCGGTCCACGCAGGAAAACAGAAACAACACCTGCAATTACCTGTAATTGTTGTTGTAGATCCAAGGTCGCCAGCAGCCGGGCGACCTCAGCGAGAGTTGTCACAGTTGTCACACACGTAATTACTGGGTAGAAATAGTGAATGTTGCAGCTGCACGAGGGAGAGCCGGTGTTTCCCAGGGCCGGGGGAGGGAAGCCTGACCCTGCTCCTTGCTCTGTCTCCAGTTTTCTCTGCCGCCTTGGGCAAGGAACTTGGGCCCTTGGTGGGCATCCCGGGAGGCGGGATAATGACACGCAGCACCTCCTCACTGCACTCATCTGTGAGGACCGGTGATGGGGTTAGCCTGGCTGTGCCATGGAGGAAGTCCCCGTTTCCTCTGACAAATGGTGCCTGGGCCGTGGATACCTGCAGTAGGGGGATTAGTCAGCCTCTTTGTCTCCCTTCCTTAGCTTAACATGGAAGGTGGAGGGGGTGGGCGGTGGTCGCCCAGCCGGCGGGGACCCTATCACCTTTACCTACAGAAACAGCTGGCGAAAAGGAGTTGACTACGCGGTCTGGTTGGCCACCACTCTGCGGACATGGGCTATTCTTGAAACGCGATAACATGCAGTTACTGAGAAATCACCGCTCGGAACTAAGAACAGAGCTTCAGTGACTTTTTTAACTCGGTCGATGGCGTTCTTTGGCAGACGCCTCCCGCCCTGCCTGGAAGTCCTCAGGGTGCGGGTCTCGTCCTGGGCTGTGCCCGCAGCGTGGGTCTCCCACGGTCTCCAGTGGCCGGTCACAGCTGGCACGGGGCTGCCCGCGTTGCAGAGCCGTAAAGCACACAGGTCTCGGAAGGGCCGAGGTTTACATTCTACATGTTTAAGCGGGTGGGTCACCACGGGGTCAGCA